AGACACGGCAGTGTATCTTTCTTTGTACGGATGTTTACGGAGCTTTGGAATGCAGTACAAAAGAGGTGACCACCCTATAGTTGGCGTCGGTCTCAGATGTAACGTGAACATGTAGCACTTTGTAGTAAGTGCTTGTCTGTGATAGATAAAAGTGACAAAGCCCTTTCCATTTTCATAACAAATCGAGTCGACTGTATCTTTCCGACTATATCATGAGCATGTGTTACTGAGTCTCTATTGAATAGTGATGATACCAGGTACAAAGGTGAGCGTATCCTGCACTGCCCCACAAGTGGTACCCGACACAAACACATGTAAAGGCAAGTCAATTGTTGACCTGTAAAAAACTCGGAAAATAGGATACAAGTAATAATAGGCAAATACATCAGACATATTTGTTGTCAGTGATGCGTCAAATTTGGAATGTCTACCATAAAACGCTTTGAAAGCTTTACTGCGGTCTTAAATGTTGTAACTTTGATCAAACAACTTCTGAGAAAGCGTTGTACGGCACTCTTTGAAATCGTTGTAGAAAGAGCATGATCGTTTTACCACAAAGCTGTGAAATGTAGATACAGGAATCTAGCTGGAGCTACAGGAATATTGTTCGACATAAAGGGAAAGTTGATTGTTGGAAAGTTGAAGTCATCCTTCTTGTCACGCAGTCTTGTTGGGAGCGTTTTGTGACTAGGAATCTTTATGGATATATCAGAATATGAATAATGAAGCGGCCTCACTCCTTTATTTCTAGTTGAGTTGGGTCAATCTGTGGAAAGGAATTGGCTATTTGAAGGTTATTGAACGACTAATGTAAGGTGAACATGTAACACCCTGCAGGTGACGATGGTTTCAGATGTCAAGTGAAATGTAACACCCTGCAGGTGACAATGGTTTCAGGTGTAAGGTGAAATGTCACTGCAAACACGAAAACGTCGTTTTTTTCCGTATATGGTCATTGGACGGAAAAACGACGTTATTTGGACGTTTTCAAACCATCGTTTTTCCGTCCAAATAACGTCGTTATTTGACATCGGAATTTACTGGGAGAGAACGATAGCGTTAAGCTCCTCCCTTTCTTGATTGACATTGTCAATGAAGCAACAGCGTCTACCGGTGTTTCTACTTCTCAGATTTCATTGGTCAGTCCCCGCGTGTTAGATTACAGGCCCGCGTTTGACGCTGCACTCAAAGCGCTAAGCGGAAGTACTGAAATCAATCGTTCTGCGCATGCGGATTACTTAATGCCTTGACCAAATTTTCCGTTCTGTGCATGCGCGATTTCGCGTATTGTTTCCTAGATTTAATGTCACCACTATTTGACAATGTTTCATAAACACAGTCACGTGAAGGTTCGGAATCGTAACGAGTAACTCCATTTAAATTGAAGAGGATCCCCAGTGATATGGGAGATTCCAAGATGAAACTATTCTATGGCTATCTAGGCTGCCACCCAAACCGATCTAAACGGGACCCGATAGCTTATTGTATGCTATATAGTCATATGGAAGTGGACAAGAACTATACATTGTATTCCGGCCGATTGTTCTTGCATTTACTTATAAGTCAGGAAAATGGACTTAAAAGGGGAGTTGTTGAATGTAATTATTTTAATTATTAAATGTTGCCTATACACTAATCTGGACGAACTTCTCATTGTTCTGTTTATGTCATCCTATATACTATTAGTATGTTACCGTTCTAAAGTCAACCTCTCACATAACATTATATTGTTCATAGTATCAAAGTTTAATCAACAATATCAAGAGCAGCGATTTAAACCACTGAAACACCCAAACACAAGGCTGTTATCAAGCGCTAGTGCAGACGTGATGCATCGTAAAAACTGTATCGTGATGTCTTCAGAAATTCAATTATACTACGAGATAGTACGGCTAACGCTGACTCACCGGTGGAACAAAGACAATATCGCTAATACAGATATAACGTATTTGAATGTTAATACTAAAGACAAACAATCATTATTTTTGCAGTGACGATATAACACGTATACACGTTTATTGTTAACTTTCATCAGTTTTGCTCTTCATTTTAATAACTTTGTTTTCACATATATATGTAGCAATACCCGACAAGCATGTCATACATAATTATGGGGCAGTTTTCAATCTTGTACTGACTTACTCTGGTGTTAATGAGCGAACTTTATTGGCTTGTGTGTAAAACCCCGTTTTTTTTCTGGTAATCCTATTATTACTTAGTTTATTTCTATCTAATGACACCCTGTTCTCTGGATCATGGCTCCGTGACTATCCATAACTATACAAACGTCCCTATGGAAATAGCCTGAAAACTTAGTGGCACACCTGGGAGCTTCGCATTTTTCGCATGGAAATAGTTTAAAATACGTGTTGAAAATATTATTATATCTTTACTAAACCATTTAGGCATAAAATGAAGTAAAAGGAGTAGCTCTATATCCTGTCTCGGAAACTATATAGCTTCCCTTTTAACACAGGGGGTCGTCTATACAAACGTCCCTATGGAAAAAGCCTGAAAACTTAGTGGCACACCTGGGAGCTTCGCATTTTTCGCATGGAAATAGTTTAATATACGGGTTTAAAATAGTATTATATCTTTACTTAACTATTTAGGCATAAAATGAAGTAAAAGGAGTAGCTCTATATCCTGTCTCGGAAACTATATAGCTTCCCTTTTAACACAGGGGGTCGTCTATACAAACGTCCCTATGGAAAAAGCCTGAAAACTTAGTGGCACACCTGGGAGCTTCGCATTTTTCGCATGGAAATAGTTTAAAATACGTGTTTGAAATATTATTATCTCTTTCCTGAACCATTTAGACATAAAATGAAGTGTTTAGTGACACTTTTGATTTCTGATTTTGAGCTGGGTAAGTTTAAGCTTATTTCTGGGAGTTTAAGGGATAATTTTGCTGCTTTATCTGCGTTTTCATTTCCAAAGATTCCTACGTGGGCGGGGATCCAAATGAACTCTATTTGTTTACCTCCCTTAGTTAAGTTGTTTGAGCTTTTGGGTATTTAATTTATTAGTATATATGCACGTTAAGTGTGGAATTATTCCAAATTACACCTGTACTCAGCTTGCTTAATTGCCCCTTGTGTAATTGCAATCACGTAGGTGTTGCGTAATCAGTCAACCATTTTCCCTTAATTATATAATTAGCTTTCCTGAGCTTTTAGTGGTAGTTAATAGCATACCGTTTCATTGATAACTTATGCATTTGGTGAGGCTAACTAACAAAACCCATTTATTTTATTTTGAACATCCGTTAACATGTTTGTCCTAAACGCGTCCAGAATACCTTTGTAAGCTATGATAGTGTCGTGTCCCTCACAAATACTAAATAAAGTTATAACATATCGCCATATTTGTATGAAAAATATTATTCCATAAACATACTATCACTGGCCACTGACAAACATAAGCAGTATTAGAATAAGAAACATAATTAAATCCAATATGACGTGGTGATGTGAAAGCATACAGAAAACTAAGAGAGCCCAACTTACTTCAGTTTCTGTTTCTGCATCCTGCGTATCATTCTACCTGTCGGATCGACTTGACCCGGGTGGTTAATAATCTTAAACATCACGACTGTAAAACACAGTTGCTAGACATAAAGAGAACTTTAATTTACGGCGTCTTTTAACCATCACGACAATAATACTGAGTGGTCCAAGACCGAACACTTCTAACATACATTTTCTTAAGAAAATACAGTAAAAATGCTTCACTTTGAGCCCCTTGTTTTCTTTAAATACGATGTACCGTGACATTATAAAGTAGTATATAGGTAGATTGAAAACTAATCTATAGATGTAAACACATTTGAAGATACATCTGTTTGTTTAAAGTAGATTTTGACCGCCCGGGCCAAGTCGGACCCAACACTCCTAACATAGATTTTCTTAAGAAAATACAGTTAAAATGCTTTACTTTTAACCCCTTGTTTTCTTTAAATACGATGTACCGTGACATTATAAAGTGGTATATAGGTAGATATAACACTAGTCTATAGATGTAAACACATTTGAAGATAAATCTGTGTGTTTAAAGTAGATTTTGACCGCCCAGGCCAAGTCGGACCCAACACAAGCCAAACACTTCGGATAGAGACTATGTTGAGAAGAGGGAAAAGGTCTTCACTTTAAGCCCCTTGTATTCTTTATATACCGCGATCTGAGACACTATAAAGTAATATTTAGGTGGATATAATATCAATCTATAGATGTAAATCATTTGATGATACATCTGTGAGGTTGATCGACTCTGTTGATCATAGAATGGGGTCAATTTGCATCTGATGGGGTTTTGTACAAAGTGTAACTGCCGAAATTGTCTACGTTGTCTCTACAAACTTCAAAATAACCTGTTTCTTCTCCAGTAAGTCTTTACAAACCACAAGTTTCCAATTTCTTACCCTGCCATATTTGCACTTGGGCATTGGCAGTCGTACATTTATTTTGTCGTATTTTGTGAATTTGCCTTAAGAATAGGACTGATTTTGAAATGTTAGAAGTAATTATTTCGTGTATGTAATGAAATATTTAAATGACCATAAGCAGAAAAAGCCACCCACGAGCTCCATTCATTCACAGCACCATCTGTTTAAATCCATGAAATGTAATTTAGAATATGTCTCGTTGTATACAATATTTCCAACAAGGATTTTTTTAAATTTCTTATGTCACAGGTGCACATTAGGTTATGTAATAAGAAAATTACACGTCGATTGAAACGTGGCGCTTTAATCACTGAAGTCCTATCTGTCCTGTTCGGTCTTTGTCCAGTTAAGGATATCTATACAATGAGCAATACATATCTTCAACCGGTAAGTCACGTTTTAATTAGCAAACCTATCTCGATTACAATGCAAAGAATAACACAGTTCCAAGTAGTAATTACTGCGATGTAATGAGGGGCCATCTGGTGTAGGACTGGAAGTGTATAAAAGTTGTGCTGTGTCGAGACATGAGCATCACTCTCAATATGAAGACTTTCCTGGTACTACTGGCGCTCTCCTGTGTTGCCACATGTTGGTGCTATCCTCTTCAGGATGGTCCCGGAGGACAAAAAAATGAAGGCCCTGGAGGTCCAGAAAATCCAGAAAGACAAGGCCCGGGAGGTCCCGAAGGTCCCGAAGGACAAGAAAGACAAGGCCCGGGAGGTCCCGAAGGTCCCGGAGGTCCCGGAGGACAAGAAAGACAAGGTCCGGGAGGTCCCGAAGGTCCCGGAGGACAAGAAAGACAAGGCCCGGGAGGTCCCGAAGGTCCCGGAGGTCCCGGAGGACAAGAAAGACAAGGCCCTGGAGGTCCCGAAGGTCCCGGAGGACAACAAAGACAAGGCCCCGGAGGTCCCGAAGGTCCCGGAGGACAACAAAGACAAGGCCCCGGAGGTCCCGAAGGTCCCGGAGGACAAGAAAGACAAGGCCCGGGAGGTCCCGAAGGTCCCGGAGGACAAGAAAGACAAGGTCCTGGAGGTCCCGAAGGTCCCGGAGGACAAGAAAGACAAGGCCCCGGAGGTCCCGGAGGACAAGAAAGACAAGGCCCGGGAGGTCCCGAAGGTCCCGGAGGACAAGAAAGACAAGGCCCTGGAGGTCCCGAAGGTCCAGGAGGACAAGAAAGACAAGGTCCCGGAGGTCCCGAAGGTCCCGGAGGACAAGAAAGACAAGGCCCGGGAGGTCCCGGAGGACAAGAAAGACAAGGTCCGGGAGGCCCGGGAGGTCCCGAAGGTCCCGGAGGTCCCGGAGGACAAGAAAGACAAGGTCCGGGAGGTCCCGAAGGTCCCGGAGGACAAGAAAGACAAGGCCCCGGAGGTCCCGGAGGACAAGAAAGACAAGGCCCGGGAGGTCCCGAAGGTCCCGGAGGACAAGAAAGACAAGGCCAAGGAGGTCCCGGAGGACAAGAAAGACAAGGCCCTGGAGGTCCCGGAGGACAAGAAAGACAAGGTCCCGGAGGTCCCGAAGGTCCCGGAGGACAAGAAAGACAAGGACCCGGAGGTCCCGGAGGACAAGAAAGACAAGGCCCCGGAGGTCCCGGAGGACAACAAAGACAAGGCCCTGGAGGTCCCGAAGGTCCCGGAGGACAAGAAAGACAAGGCCCCGGAGGTCCCGGAGGACAAGGAAGACAAGGCCCGGGAGGTCCCGGAGGACAAGAAAGACAAGGTCCCGGAGGTCCCGAAGGTCCCGGAGGACAAGAAAGACAAGGCCCCGGAGGTCCCGGAGGACAAGAAAGACAAGGCCCGGGAGGTCCCGGAGGACAACAAAGACAAGGTCCCGGAGGTCCCGGAGGACAAGAAAGACAAGGCCCCGGAGGTCCCGGAGGACAAGAAAGACAAGGCCCTGGAGGTCCCGGAGGACAACAAAGACAAGGCCCTGGAGGTCCCGAAGGTCCCGGAGGACAAGAAAGACAAGGCCCCGGAGGTCCCGGAGGACAAGAAAGACAAGGCCCGGGAGGTCCCGGAGGACAACAAAGACAAGGCCCTGGAGGTCCCGGAGGTCCCGGAGGACAAGAAAGACAAGGCCCCGGAGGTCCCGGAGGACAAGAAAGACAAGGCCCGGGAGGTCCCGGAGGACAACAAAGACAAGGCCCTGGAGGTCCCGGAGGACAACAAAGACAAGGCCCTGGAGGTCCCGAAGGTCCCGGAGGACAAGAAAGACAAGGCCCCGGAGGTCCCGGAGGACAAGAAAGACAAGGCCCGGGAGGTCCCGGAGGACAACAAAGACAAGGCCCTGGAGGTCCCGGAGGTCCCGGAGGACAAGAAAGACAAGGCCCCGGAGGTCCCGGAGGACAAGAAAGACAAGGCCCGGGAGGTCCCGGAGGACAACAAAGACAAGGCCCTGGAGGTCCCGGAGGACAACAAAGACAAGGCCCTGGAGGTCCCGAAGGTCCCGGAGGACAAGAAAGACAAGGCCCCGGAGGTCCCGAAGGTCCCGGAGGACAAGAAAGACAAGGCCCCGGAGGTCCCGGAGGACAAGAAAGACAAGGCCCGGGAGGTCCCGGAGGACAACAAAGACAAGGCCCTGGAGGTCCCGGAGGTCCCGGAGGACAAGAAAGACAAGGCCCCGGAGGTCCCGGAGGACAAGAAAGACAAGGCCCGGGAGGTCCCGGAGGACAACAAAGACAAGGCCCTGGAGGTCCCGGAGGACAACAAAGACAAGGCCCTGGAGGTCCCGAAGGTCCCGGAGGACAAGAAAGACAAGGCCCCGGAGGTCCCGGAGGACAAGAAAGACAAGGCCCGGGAGGTCCCGGAGGACAACAAAGACAAGGCCCTGGAGGTCCCGGAGGTCCCGGAGGACAAGAAAGACAAGGCCCCGGAGGTCCCGGAGGACAAGAAAGACAAGGCCCGGGAGGTCCCGGAGGACAACAAAGACAAGGCCCTGGAGGTCCCGGAGGACAACAAAGACAAGGCCCTGGAGGTCCCGAAGGTCCCGGAGGACAAGAAAGACAAGGCCCCGGAGGTCCCGGAGGACAAGAAGGACAAGGCCCGGGAGGTCCCGGAGGACAACAAAGACAAGGCCCTGGAGGTCCCGGAGGTCCCGGAGGACAAGAAAGACAAGGCCCCGGAGGTCCCGGAGGACAAGAAAGACAAGGCCCGGGAGGTCCCGGAGGACAACAAAGACAAGGCCCTGGAGGTCCCGGAGGACAACAAAGACAAGGCCCTGGAGGTCCCGAAGGTCCCGGAGGACAAGAAAGACAAGGCCCGGGAGGTCCCGAAGGTCCCGGAGGACAAGAAAGACAAGGCCCCGGAGGTCCCGGAGGACAAGAAAGACAAGGCCCGGGAGGTCCCGGAGGACAACAAAGACAAGGCCCTGGAGGTCCCGGAGGTCCCGGAGGACAAGAAAGACAAGGCCCCGGAGGTCCCGGAGGACAAGAAAGACAAGGCCCGGGAGGTCCCGGAGGACAACAAAGACAAGGCCCTGGAGGTCCCGGAGGACAACAAAGACAAGGCCCTGGAGGTCCCGAAGGTCCCGGAGGACAAGAAAGACAAGGCCCCGGAGGTCCCGGAGGACAAGAAAGACAAGGCCCGGGAGGTCCCGGAGGTCCCGGAGGACAAGAAAGACAAGGCCCCGGAGGTCCCGGAGGACAAGAAAGACAAGGCCCGGGAGGTCCCGGAGGACAACAAAGACAAGGCCCTGGAGGTCCCGGAGGTCCCGGAGGACAAGAAAGACAAGGCCCCGGAGGTCCCGGAGGACAAGAAAGACAAGGCCCGGGAGGTCCCGGAGGACAACAAAGACAAGGCCCTGGAGGTCCCGGAGGACAACAAAGACAAGGCCCTGGAGGTCCCGAAGGTCCCGGAGGACAAGAAAGACAAGGCCCGGGAGGTCCCGAAGGTCCCGGAGGACAAGAAAGACAAGGCCCCGGAGGTCCCGGAGGACAAGAAAGACAAGGCCCGGGAGGTCCCGGAGGACAACAAAGACAAGGCCCTGGAGGTCCCGGAGGTCCCGGAGGACAAGAAAGACAAGGCCCCGGAGGTCCCGGAGGACAAGAAAGACAAGGCCCGGGAGGTCCCGGAGGACAACAAAGACAAGGCCCTGGAGGTCCCGGAGGACAACAAAGACAAGGCCCTGGAGGTCCCGAAGGTCCCGGAGGACAAGAAAGACAAGGCCCCGGAGGTCCCGGAGGACAAGAAAGACAAGGCCCGGGAGGTCCCGGAGGACAACAAAGACAAGGCCCTGGAGGTCCCGGAGGTCCCGGAGGACAAGAAAGACAAGGCCCCGGAGGTCCCGGAGGACAAGAAAGACAAGGCCCGGGAGGTCCCGGAGGACAACAAAGACAAGGCCCTGGAGGTCCCGGAGGACAACAAAGACAAGGCCCTGGAGGTCCCGAAGGTCCCGGAGGTCCCGGAGGCCGGAGATAGGCCAACACCTCCTCAACAAAGGAACTGACAAGGTTAGCTTGTTTTTCATTGCTTCGAGGGGCGGTCGGGTAGCCTAGGCTTGGTGGTTAAAGCGTTCGCTCGTCACGCCGAAGACCCGGGTTCGATTCCCGACATGGGTACAATGTGTGAAGCCCATTTCTGGTGTCCCCCGCCGTGATATTGCTGGAATATTGCTAAAAGCGGCGTAAAACCATACTCACTCACTCACTCACTGCTTCGATTTCCAATGTACGTTTCTTGTACATAACTTAACGCAATGTAACATTAACTTTAATATTCACGGGATATATAACAAGATGAAAACGTTCAAAGCAAACTAGACCCAATATTTCCTCTTGATTCATTAGAAAGCTGTGCATACATCATTGTTGTTAGTGTTTTACCGAAGCTTTGCTTTCCTTTTCAGATGGCACTTCTTTGAAATAAAACCAATGAACACTGAAAGATTTTGTTGTACATATGTGTTGCCTACCTGGATTCGTCATGGAAATGCATGTATAATTTGGTATATGAGAAACAAACACGTCTTAGAATTAGTATTTTCCACAGCAAAATAAACCTAAGTCGTGGATGGACCAGTGGTCTAATCAGCTGATTAGAAAGCTGCTGTGGTTGGTTTGAATTCCAGGGTCGCCTTGATTGGTTTTCTTGTTTTGTCAGCGCCGTAACAATAACTGTCGGGCTTTCTTCACACATCAAGCTACCTCGCCATGATATATCTGATATAATGTTCAAAGCTGCGTTTAACCAAAGGTACTCACTTACTCACTAAGGAATAGGTTGACATTGTACAGCCAGACAATGCATTTTATCGCAGTTAGTTATATAGCAATGCTTATAATTAAACCATTTACTTTTCACTAACTAACTACTGTAACAGCTGATTTGGTTATAGTGAATGAACATTTAGCTGGCCAGCAATATGTTGACGACAATTTGCGTCCATTCGCTAGAATTATGCCGGACCACATCGTGCAGATCGTAACCGTTTATCTACGACGAGAAGGCATCCGGATATTGGACTGGTCCGCAAAGTCCTCTGACGAAGTCTAACAGACATTTGTCGTCATTACACCGTCACTGGGAAGAAACATAGTCATATTTCCCACTCTCACAATACCTTTGACATTTACGTACATATTCTTAAAGCCCCACCCTGACTATAAATAGCCCGCAAGGTGGCGGTGTTTCAGTTTCGAACAATGACTGACAATGTAAACACAACCGAGTGTCGGGAGAAACTTTTTGAAAACCATACGGGAACAAGATCACCATTGACCGTCAAACTTCGTATCAACTTAAAAGACAAACCCTGGATACCACAAATGGCTCCATATCTAGATCTAAGTCAATACATCTTCTGTAGTGTTATCATAAAAATGTGTTTGGCGTCTACATCAATCACAGTAGACGGAGCTTATTTACGGTTGCGCTATTAATAGCCAAGCACATGGTCAATGCATTTGTGGTCAAAGTGTATTGTATGTTTTTACGACAGAACAGCAGCAGAAAAACAGTTTCGGTAATGTAACAGTAACAATACATAAATACGAAATTGACGACACGATTCTTTCAGTTCAATCCGAAAATTACAGATATGTGTTTAGTTTTGGTCATTTGCATTCAGATTATATTTATAAAACTTACAAAATTACACCGATTTCTCAACTAGTGTTTAGGAAGGGGCCTTATTTGAAGCGCCAATATTTCTTAGTTTGACTACAATATATGATTATGTCACGTGTATCAACGTAACAATGCACATAAGGAACTGATAAAAATGTAATGAAATACACTAGATGTTTTGACCCACTTTAGGCGTATGTAGATAATATTGTACTTACGATACACGACAACTCCAAAACACATATTCCAAGACAACTTTAATTATGTATTTCCTTTTCTTTCACAGCATTTTCACACACAAAACTGAGTTTGATCATTAGATCCACACTTGTCCCATGTCTTGTTCGGGGGATTTACATACACTTCGCGCACAAGTTTTAAAATACAACCCGGGATCCCTTTCCGTTTTGTCCACTGTAATCCCTCAACTTCTCCAACATTCCAGAGGTATTGCACTGTTTTCGAATCGACGAATTTCTGCAAAATGGTGGCCGCACCATTCCCTAACTGCGATTGCATGTGCTGTGTCACGCACGGTTGACAAAAGAAGTGTGAACATCTTCTTCATCTGGTTCCAGATGCATGTCATCGATCCCAATTGTGTGGATCGATGCTCATGATGTCAATCACTGGATTGTCTGGTCCAGACTCGATTATTTTACAGACCGCCGTCATATAGCTGGAATATTGCTGAATGCGGCGTTAAACAACAAACAAACAAACAAACAAACCACGGTACAATGTCTCGAATGCTTTCCATGAGAATCAAAATTCATTTGGGTCCGGGATACGTTATGGAACGCACCAAAGTGTCATGGATAGATCACGGAATGTAACAATGGGACTGCCATAGCAAATTGACGTAAATTTATGACGTTTGAGGTTTATTTAAAGCTTTGGATTGGATGATATTGATGAATCCCATCGTTGGTTGTTGTAATGGGATACACGTTGTTTAAACTGCGACATAAAAAATAAACATTTCCAACATCTTGCATCATCCAGGCTTGGCCAAAGACAAACTGGAATAAGAAATGTTTTATTTAAGTTGCCCAGAAAGTTCTGTTTACGCAATCCAGGCCATGCAGCATTAGGTACGTTTGCCTCGGATGTTGGCCATTATTCATAGTGACTAGTTTAGCCCAATATTTTACACATTGTGTTACATAGATGAGAAATAATAAAGGGCGACAACTTTCTCCAAGAACAGAATCATTACAAGGCAGAGGCAGATACAGAATTATTTTTATATACTTAGTAGGAACTCTCTCAATTTGATCCATGACTTCGTATCCCCAAAGTTCGGAGCCGTATGTTAGGATGCGCAGAACCACGCCATCGACAATCTTAGCGAAGAATAAGTATTACAGGAGGATCACATGAGCTTATATCAGTATAAGTACATGTATTCGTATGTATACCTCTTGTATCATTGGGGGCACGGGTGGCCCAGTCGTCTGAGGCGCCGCGATTCGCTGTGCAGAGTTGCGTCCCCTGGACACGCCAGAAACCTATGATTGTGAGTTTATGATCCCCGATATTTTTTAGGTAAACAATTGACTTGCCTTTGCACCTTATCGCTGACACCTGGTGTCATCACTATTTGGTAGTTATTGATTAACGCATACTTATGATATACCGTATTGGACGTAATAAGTGCTCCGCTCTAATAAGCGCCCACGGCGATATTTGCCAATATATTGGCTAGTGAAGAATTCCAATTATCACCCCTTTCGATTGATCAATGTACACAAGACTTATTTATTCGTATATAATACGTGTGTTATATGCATCCTTAATTATGGAAAATTAAATTCTGGAAAAATACATCTGTCGTTTATAAACATTTCAGGCTGTCACCATAAACCACGAAATTCACGATCTTTCAACTCTGTTGTTTTTCACCAAAATAATATTCTAATAAGAGCACTCTATTTCAAATTTTGAAAGCGCCCTGGGTGCATATTATGTCGAATACGGTAGTCGAAATCGAGCAATAGATTTCTCATGGTTATAGAAAGAATTTTTACTCACAATTGAAAATGTTTTTGAAGCAAATGTAGGTTGTGATCTAAGGTGCGGGAAACTATGTGATGTAAGGAGCGTGGAAACTGAGTGGTCTAAGTTGCCGATGGGAGGTTCATTTGAAGAGAAGGTACAAATCAGTCTTGTAGCACGTTGACATAAAAATCAGAGGAACCAAGATCTTTATAAAAAGAGAAAAACACTTTCTATTGTCAGTGTCACAAATACTAGAATGATTTATGCCCGTGTTCTAATCTCTTGGCATCGTCACGTGATGTCCCTTGAATGTTAATAGCAGGAACATTAGTTTCAAGAGTCTTGTGTTCACTGTCTACCTGAACGTGAACCTTCAACCTCGTGGTAGCTGTTCCATAACGTCCTTTGTAGAAGGTGATCCTCTGTGACGTATGAAAGATGATACCCAGATATTTAATGGACTATCTGAAACTACTCCTGGAATTAACAGTTATTCTGATGTTCGTATTTTCAACATCAAGCATAAAGCAATGTGGACCTAAGACGATTGTCACTATCAGGAACGTTGGCATCAAGCTGTGCCAGTTTAAATGTACTGAACATGGCCTATGTGGGAGTTTTGAATAGGATATTGAAACTTTAACCTGTCGTTTATCAAGAGTGACCCAAAGAAGACCGAGAAGAAGGAAGGAGATATGAGTTTTTAAAAAACTTTTTCAGTTGTGAGTAAAAACTCTTTCCATAACCATATTGTTCGATTTCGACTACCGTATTCGACATAATATGCGCCCAGGGCGCTTTCAAAATTAGAAATAGAGTGCTCTTATTAGAATATCATTTTGGTGAAAAACAACAGATTTGAAAGATCGTAAATTTCGTGGTTTATGGTGACAGCCTGAAATGTTTATATACGACAGATATATTTTTCCAGAATTTAATTTTCCATAATTAAGGATGCATATAACACACGTATTATATACGAATAAATAAGTCTTGTGTACATTGATCAATCGAAAGGGGTGATAATTGGGATTCTTCACTAGCCAATATATTAGCAAATATCGCCGTGGGCGCTTATTAGAGCGGAGCACTTATTACGTCCAATACGGTATATCATAAGTATGCGTTAATCAATAACTACAAAATAGTGATGACACCAGGTGTCAGCGATAAGGTGCAAAGGCAAGTCAATTGTTCACCTAAAAAATATCGGGGATCATAAACTCACAATTGGGACATTAGTTTGGTCACGACACGTCAAATTTGGAAATATCCCTCACAGATCAACCGCGAACCATTTGAACAACTTGTGAGAAAAAGTCGTATGACACACTTTGAAACTGATGGTACATTAAAGGAAGGGCTAATAGTTGGAGCTGCTAAAATATTGTTCGACTCAAAGGAAAAGTTAACTTTGGGAAAGTTGATGTTACCAATCCGAGCAGAAGTTCTGCCCAACTGGTGTTCATGGGGATGCCTATTTCTAGCCTAGTTATCCTATCCCCAAATAATCGTCATTGAACAAGAAATTTACATGAATAAACATAAAAAATAATGATACAAGAGGTATACATACGAAAACATGTACTTATACTGATATAAGCTCATGTGATCCTCCTGTAATACTTATTCTTCGCTAAGATTGTCGATGGCGTGGTTCTGCGCATCCTAACATACGGCTCCGAACTTTGGGGATACGAAGTCATGGATCAAATTGAGAGAGTTCCTACTAAGTATATAAAAATAATTCTGTATCTGCCTCTGCCTTGTAATGATTCTGTTCTTGGAGAAAGTTGTCGCCCTTTATTATTTCTCATCTATGTAACACAATGTGTAAAATATTGGGCTAAACTAGTCACTATGAATAATGGCCAACATCCGAGGCAAACGTACCTAATGCTGCATGGCCTGGATTGCGTAAACAGAACTTTCTGGGCAACTTAAATAAAACATTTCTTATTCCAGTTTGTCTTTGGCCAAGCCTGGATGATGCAAGATGTTGGAAATGTTTATTTTTTATGTCGCAGTTTAAACAACGTGTATCCCATTACAACAACCAACGATGGGATTCATCAATATCATCCAATCCAAAGCTTTAAATAAACCTCAAACGTCATAAATTTACGTCAATTTGCTATGGCAGTCCCATTGTTACATTCCGTGATATATCCATGACACTTTGGTGCGTTCCATAACGTATCCCGGACCCAAATGAATTTTGATTCTCATGGAAAGCATTCGAGACATTGTACCGTGGTTTGTTTGTTTGTTTGTTTGTTGTTTAACGCCGCATTCAGCAATATTCCAGCTATATGACGGCGGTCTGTAAAATAATCGAGTCTGGACCAGACAATCCAGTGATTGACATCATGAGCATCGATCCACACAATTGGGATCGATGACATGCATCTGGAACCAGATGAAGAAGATGTTCACACTTCTTTTGTCAACCGTGCGTGACACAGCACATGCAATCGCAGTTAGGGAATGGTGCGGCCACCATTTTGCAGAAATTCGTCGATTCGAAAACAGTGCAATACCTCTGGAATGTTGGAGAAGTTGAGGGATTACAGTGGACAAAACGGAAAGGGATCCCGGGTTGTATTTTAAAACTTGTGCGCGAAGTGTATGTAAATCCCCCGAACAAGACATGGGACAAGTGTGGATCTAATGATCAAACTCAGTTTTGTGTGTGAAAATGCTGTGAAAGAAAAGGAAATACATAATTAAAGTTGTCTTGGAATATGTGTTTTGGAGTTGTCGTGTATCGTAAGTACAATATTATCTACATACGCCTAAAGTGGGTCAAAACATCTAGTGTATTTCATTACATTTTTATCAGTTCCTTATGTGCATTGTTACGTTGATACACGTGACATAATCATATATTGTAGTCAAACTAAGAAATATTGGCGCTTCAAATAAGGCCCCTTCCTAAACACTAGTTGAGAAATCGGTGTAATTTTGTAAGTTTTATAAATATAATCTGAATGCAAATGACCAAAACTAAACACATATCTGTAATTTTCGGATTGAACTGAAAGAATCGTGTCGTCAATTTCGTATTTATGTATTGTTACTGTTACATTACCGAAACTGTTTTTCTGCTGCTGTTCTGTCGTAAAAACATACAATACACTTTGACCACAAATGCATTGACCATGTGCTTGGCTATTAATAGCGCAACCGTAAATAAGCTCCGTCTACTGTGATTGATGTAGACGCCAAACACATTTTTATGATAACACTACAGAAGATGTATTGACTTAGATCTAGATATGGAGCCATTTGTGGTATCCAGGGTTTGTCTTTTAAGTTGATACGAAGTTTGACGGTCAATGGTGATCTTGTTCCCGTATGGTTTTCAAAAAGTTTCTCCCGACACTCGGTTGTGTTTACATTGTCAGTCATTGTTCGAAACTGAAACACCGCCACCTTGCGGGCTATTTATAGTCAGGGTGGGGCTTTAAGAATATGTACGTAAATGTCAAAGGTATTGTGAGAGTGGGAAATATGACTATGTTTCTTCCCAGTGACGGTGTAATGACGACAAATGTCTGTTAGACTTCGTCAGAGGACTTTGCGGACCAGTCCAATATCCGGATGCCTTCTCGTCGTAGATAAACGGTTACGATCTGCACGATGTGGTCCGGCATAATTCTAGCGAATGGACGCAAATTGTCGTCAACATATTGCTGGCCAGCTAAATGTTCATTCACTATAACCAAATCAGCTGTTACAGTAGTTAGTTAGTGAAAAGTAAATGGTTTAATTATAAGCATTGCTATATAACTAACTGCGATAAAATGCATTGTCTGGCTGTACAATGTCAACCTATTCCTTAGTGAGTAAGTGAGTACCTTTGGTTAAACGCAGCTTTGAACATTATATCAGATATATCATGGCGAGGTAGCTTGATGTGTGAAGAAAGCCCGACAGTTATTGTTACGGCGCTGACAAAACAAGAAAACCAATCAAGGCGACCCTGGAATTCAAACCAACCACAGCAGCTTTCTAATCAGCTGATTAGACCACTGGTCCATCCACGACTTAGGTTTATTTTGCTGTGGAAAATACTAATTCTAAGACGTGTTTGTTTCTCATATACCAAATTATACATGCATTTCCATGACGAATCCAGGTAGGCAACACATATGTACAACAAAATCTTTCAGTGTTCATTGGTTTTATTTCAAAGAAGTGCCATCTGAAAAGGAAAGCAAAGCTTCGGTAAAACACTAACAACAATGATGTATGCACAGCTTTATAATGAATCAAGAGGAAATATTGGGCCTAGTTTGCTTTGAACGTTTTCATCTTGTTATATATCCCGTGAATATTAAAGTTAATGTTACATTGCGTTAAGTTATGTACAAGAAACGTACATTGGAAATCGAAGCAGTGAGTGAGTGAGTGAGTATGGTTTTACGCCGCTTTTAGCAATATTCCAGCAATATCACGGCGGGGGACACCAGAAATGGGCTTCACACATTGTACCCATGTCGGGAATCGAACCCGGGTCTTCGGCGTGACGAGCGAACGCTTTAACCACCAAGCCTAGGCTACCCGACCGCCCCTCGAAGCAATGAAAAACAAGCTAACCTTGTCAGTTCCTTTGTTGAGGAGGTGTTGGCCTATCTTCGGCCTCCGGGACCTCCGGGACCTTCGGGACCTCCAGGGCCTTGTCTTTGTTGTCCTCCGGGACCTCCAGGGCCTTGTCTTTGTTGTCCTCCGGGACCTCCCGGGCCTTGTCTTTCTTGTCCTCCGGGACCTCCGGGGCCTTGTCTTTCTTGTCCTCCGGGACCTCCGGGACCTCCAGGGCCTTGTCTTTGTTGTCCTCCGGGACCTCCCGGGCCTTGTCTTTCTTGTCCTCCGGGACCTCCGGGGCCTTGTCTTTCTTGTCCTCCGGGACCTTCGGGACCTCCAGGGCCTTGTCTTTGTTGTCCTCCGGGACCTCCAGGGCCTTGTCTTTGTTGTCCTCCGGGACCTCCCGGGCCTTGTCTTTCTTGTCCTCCGGGACCTCCGGGGCCTTGTCTTTCTTGTCCTCCGGGACCTCCGGGACCTCCAGGGCCTTGTCTTTGTTGTCCTCCGGGACCTCCCGGGCCTTGTCTTTCTTGTCCTCCGGGACCTCCGGGGCCTTGTCTTTCTTGTCCTCCGGGACCTTCGGGACCTCCCGGGCCTTGTCTTTCTTGTCCTCCGGGACCTTCGGGACCTCCAGGGCCTTGTCTTTGTTGTCCTCCGGGACCTCCAGGGCCTTGTCTTTGTTGTCCTCCGGGACCTCCCGGGCCTTGTCTTTCTTGTCCTCCGGGACCTCCGGGGCCTTGTCTTTCTTGTCCTCCGGGACCTCCGGGACCTCCAGGGCCTTGTCTTTGTTGTCCTCCGGGACCTCCCGGGCCTTGTCTTTGTTGTCCTCCGGGACCTCCGGGGCCTTGTCTTTCTTGTCCTCCGGGACCTTCGGGACCTCCAGGGCCTTGTCTTTGTTGTCCTCCGGGACCTCCAGGGCCTTGTCTTTGTTGTCCTCCGGGACCTCCCGGGCCTTGTCTTTCTTGTCCTCCGGGACCTCCGGGGCCTTGTCTTTCTTGTCCTCCGGGACCTCCGGGACCTCCAGGGCCTTGTCTTTGTTGTCCTCCGGGACCTCCCGGGCCTTGTCTTTCTTGTCCTCCGGGACCTCCGGGGCCTTGTCTTTCTTGTCCTCCGGGACCTTCGGGACCTCCAGGGCCTTGTCTTTGTTGTCCTCCGGGACCTCCGGGGCCTTGTCTTTGTTGTCCTCCGGGACCTCCCGGGCCTTGTCTTTCTTGTCCTCCGGGACCTCCGGGGCCTTGTCTTTCTTGTCCTCCGGGACCTCCGGGACCTCCAGGGCCTTGTCTTTGTTGTCCTCCGGGACCTCCCGGGCCTTGTCTTTCTTGTCCCCCGGGACCTCCGGGTCCTTGTCTTTCTTGTCCTCCGGGACCTTCGGGACCTCCGGGGCCTTGTCTTTCTTGTCCTCCGGGACCTTCGGGACCTCCAGGGCCTTGTCTTTGTTGTCCTCCGGGACCTCCAGGGCCTTGTCTTTGTTGTCCTCCGGGACCTCCCGGGCCTTGTCTTTCTTGTCCTCCGGGACCTCCGGGGCCTTGTCTTTCTTGTCCTCCGGGACCTCCGGGACCTCCAGGGCCTTGTCTTTGTTGTCCTCCGGGACCTCCCGGGCCTTGTCTTTCTTGTCCTCCGGGACCTCCGGGGCCTTGTCTTTCTTGTCCTCCGGGACCTTCGGGACCTCCAGGGCCTTGTCTTTGTTGTCCTCCGGGACCTCCAGGGCCTTGTCTTTGTTGTCCTCCGGGACCTCCCGGGCCTTGTCTTTCTTGTCCTCCGGGACCTCCGGGGCCTTGTCTTTCTTGTCCTCCGGGACCTCCGGGACCTCCAGGGCCTTGTCTTTGTTGTCCTCCGGGACCTCCCGGGCCTTGTCTTTCTTGTCCTCCGGGACCTCCGGGGCCTTGTCTTTCTTGTCCTCCGGGACCTTCGGGACCTCCAGGGCCTTGTCTTTGTTGTCCTCCGGGACCTCCAGGGCCTTGTCTTTGTTGTCCTCCGGGACCTCCCGGGCCTTGTCTTTCTTGTCCTCCGGGACCTCCGGGGCCTTGTCTTTCTTGTCCTCCGGGACCTCCGGGACCTTGTCTTTGTTGTCCTCCGGGACCTCCCGGGCCTTGTCTTTCTTGTCCTCCGGGACCTCCGGGGCCTTGTCTTTCTTGTCCTCCGGGACCTTCGGGACCTCCGGGACCTTGTCTTTCTTGTCCTCCGGGACCTCCCGGGCCTTGTCTTCCTTGTCCTCCGGGACCTCCGGGGCCTTGTCTTTCTTGTCCTCCGGGACCTTCGGGACCTCCAGGGCCTTGTCTTTGTTGTCCTCCGGGACCTCCGGGGCCTTGTCTTTCTTGTCCTCCGGGACCTCCGGGTCCTTGTCTTTCTTGTCCTCCGGGACCTTCGGGACCTCCGGGACCTTGTCTTTCTTGTCCTCCGGGACCTCCAGGGCCTTGCCTTTCTTGTCCTCCGGGACCTCCTTGGCCTTGTCTTTCTTGTCCTCCGGGACCTTCGGGACCTCCCGGGCCTTGTCTTTCTTGTCCTCCGGGACCTCCGGGGCCTTGTCTTTCTTGTCCTCCGGGACCTTCGGGACCTCCCGGACCTTGTCTTTCTTGTCCTCCGGGACCTCCGGGACCTTCGGGACCTCCCGGGCCTCCCGGACCTTGTCTTTCTTGTCCTCCGGGACCTCCCGGGCCTTGTCTTTCTTGTCCTCCGGGACCTTCGGGACCTCCGGGACCTTGTCTTTCTTGTCCTCCTGGACCTTCGGGACCTCCAGGGCCTTGTCTTTCTTGTCCTCCGGGACCTTCGGGACCTCCGGGGCCTTGTCTTTCTTGTCCTCCGGGACCTCCCGGGCCTTGTCTTTCTTGTCCTCCGGGACCTTCGGGACCTCCAGGACCTTGTCTTTCTTGTCCTCCGGGACCTTCGGGACCTCCCGGGCCTTGTCTTTCTTGTCCTCCGGGACCTTCGGGACCTCCGGGGCCTTGTCTTTGTTGTCCTCCGGGACCTTCGGGACCTCCGGGGCCTTGTCTTTGTTGTCCTCCGGGACCTCCGGGACCTTCGGGACCTCCCGGGCCTTGTCTTTCTTGTCCTCCGGGACCTTCGGGACCTCCCGGACCTTGTCTTTCTTGTCCTCCGGGACCTCCGGGACCTTCGGGACCTCCCGGGCCTTGTCTTTCTTGTCCTTCGGGACCTTCGGGACCTCCCGGGCCTTGTCTTTCTGGATTTTCTGGACCTCCAGGGCCTTCATTTTTTTGTCCTCCGGGACCATCCTGAAGAGGATAGCACCAACATGTGGCAACACAGGAGAGCGCCAGTAGTACCAGGAAAGTCTTCATATTGAGAGTGATGCTCATGTCTCGACACAGCACAACTTTTATACACTTCCAGTCCTACACCAGATGGCCCCTCATTACATCGCAGTAATTACTACTTGGAACTGTGTTATTCTTTGCATTGTAATCGAGATAGGTTTGCTAATTAAAACGTGACTTACCGGTTGAAGATATGTATTGCTCATTGTATAGATATCCTTAACTGGACAAAGACCGAACAGGACAGATAGGACTTCAGTGATTAAAGCGCCACGTTTCAATCGACGTGTAATTTTCTTATTACATAACCTAATGTGCACCTGTGACATAAGAAATTTAAAAAAATCCTTGTTGGAAATATTGTATACAACAAGACATATTCTAAATTACATTTCATGGATTTAAACAGATGGTGCTGTGAATGAATGGAGCTCGTGGGTGGCTTTTTCTGCTTATGGTCATTTAAATATTTCATTACATACACGAAATAATTACTTCTAACATTTCAAAATCAGTCCTATTCTTAAGGCAAATTCACAAAATACGACAAAATAAATGTACGACTGCCAATGCCCAAGTGCAAATATGGCAGGGTAAGAAATTGGAAACTTGTGGTTTGTAAAGACTTACTGGAGAAGAAACAGGTTATTTTGAAGTTTGTAGAGACAACGTAGACAATTTCGGCAGTTACACTTTGTACAAAACCCCATCAGATGCAAATTGACCCCATTCTATGATCAACAGAGTCGATCAACCTCACAGATGTATCATCAAATGATTTACATCTATAGATTGATATTATATCCACCTAAATATTACTTTATAGTGTCTCAGATCGCGGTATATAAAGAATACAAGGGGCTTAAAGTGAAGACCTTTTCCCTCTTCTCAACATAGTCTCTATCCGAAGTGTTTGGCTTGTGTTGGGTCCGACTTGGCCTGGGCGGTCAAAATCTACTTTAAACACACAGATTTATCTTCAAATGTGTTTACATCTATAGACTAGTGTTATATCTACCTATATACCACTTTATAATGTCACGGTACATCGTATTTAAAGAAAACAAGGGGTTAAAAGTAAAGCATTTTTACTGTATTTTCTTAAGAAAATCTATGTTAGGAGTGTTGGGTCCGACTTGGCCCGGGCGGTCAATATCTACTTTAAACAAACAGATGTATCTTCAAATGTGTTTACATCTATAGATTAGTTTTCAATCTACCTATATACTACTTTATAATGTCACGGTACATCGTATTTAAAGAAAACAAGGGGCTCAAAGTGAAGCATTTTTACTGTATTTTCTTAAGAAAATGTATGTTAGAAGTGTTCGGTCTTGGACCACTCAGTATTATTGTCGTGATGGTTAAAAGACGCCGTAAATTAAAGTTCTCTTTATGTCTAGCAACTGTGTTTTACAGTCGTGATGTTTAAGATTATTAACCACCCTGGTCAAGTCGATCCGACAGGTAGAATGATACGCAGGATGCAGAAACAGAAACTGAAGTAAGTTGGGCTCTCTTAGTTTTCTGTATGCTTTCACATCACCACGTCATATTGGATTTAATTATGTTTCTTATTCTAATACTGCTTATGTTTGTCAGTGGCCAGTGATAGTATGTTTATGGAATAATATTTTTCATACAAATATGGCGATATGTTATAACTTTATTTAGTATTTGTGAGGGACACGACACTATCATAGCTTACAAAGGTATTCTGGACGCGTTTAGGACAAACATGTTAACGGATGTTCAAAATAAAATAAATGGGTTTTGTTAGTTAGCCTCACCAAATGCATAAGTTATCAATGAAACGGTATGCTATTAACTACCACTAAAAGCTCAGGAAAGCTAATTATATAATTAAGGGAAAATGGTTGACTGATTACGCAACACCTACGTGATTGCAATTACACAAGGGGCATTTAAGCAAGCTGAGTACAGGTGTAATTTGGAATAATTCCACACTTAACGTGCATATATACTAATAAATTAAATACCCAAAAGCTCAAACAACTTAACTAAGGGAGGTAAACAAATAGAGTTCATTTGGATCCCCGCCCACGTAGGAATCTTTGGAAATGAAAACGCAGATAAAGCAGCAAAATTATCCCTTAAACTCCCAGAAATAAGCTTAAACTTACCCAGCTCAAAATCAGAAATCAAAAGTGTCACTAAACACTTCATTTTATGTCTAAATGGTTCAGGAAAGAGATAATAATATTTCAAACACGTATTTTAAACTATTTCCATGCGAAAAATGCGAAGCTCCCAGGTGTGCCACTAAGTTTTCAGGCTTTTTCCATAGGGACGTTTGTATAGACGACCCCCTGTGTTAAAAGGGAAGCTATATAGTTTCCGAGACAGGATATAGAGCTACTCCTTTTACTTCATTTTATGCCTAAATGGTTTAGTAAAGATATAATAATATTTTCAACACGTATTTTAAACTATTTCCATGCGAAAAATGCGAAGCTCCCAGGTGTGCCACTAAGTTTTCAGGCTATTTCCATAGGGACGTTTGTATAGTTATGGATAGTCACGGAGCCATGATCCAGAGAACAGGGTGTCATTAGATAGAAATAAACTAAGTAATAATAGGATTACCAGAAAAAAAACGGGGTTTTACACACAAGCCAATAAAGTTCGCTCATTAACACCAGAGTAAGTCAGTACAAGATTGAAAACTGCCCCATAATTATGTATGACATGCTTGTCGGGTATTGCTACATATATATGTGAAAACAAAGTTATTAAAATGAAGAGCAAAACTGATGAAAGTTAACAATAAACGTGTATACGTGTTATATCGTCACTGCAAAAATAATGATTGTTTGTCTTTAGTATTAACATTCAAATACGTTATATCTGTATTAGCGATATTGTCTTTGTTCCACCGGTGAGTCAGCGTTAGCCGTACTATCTCGTAGTATAATTGAATTTCTGAAGACATCACGATACAGTTTTTACGATGCATCACGTCTGCACTAGCGCTTGATAACAGCCTTGTGTTTGGGTGTTTCAGTGGTTTAAATCGCTGCTCTTGATATTGTTGATTAAACTTTGATACTATGAACAATATAATGTTATGTGAGAGGTTGACTTTAGAACGGTAACATACTAATAGTATATAGGATGACATAAACAGAACAATGAGAAGTTCGTCCAGATTAGTGTATAGGCAACATTTAATAATTAAAATAATTACATTCAACAACTCCCCTTTTAAGTCCATTTTCCTGACTTATAAGTAAATGCAAGAACAATCGGCCGGAATACAATGTATAGTTCTTGTCCACTTCCATATGACTATATAGCATACAATAAGCTATCGGGTCCCGTTTAGATCGGTTTGGGTGGCAGCCTAGATAGCCATAGAATAGTTTCATCTTGGAATCTCCCATATCACTGGGGATCCTCTTCAATTTAAATGGAGTTACTCGTTACGATTCCGAACCTTCACGTGACTGTGTTTATGAAACATTGTCAAATAGTGGTGACATTAAATCTAGGAAACAATACGCGAAATCGCGCATGCACAGAACGGAAAATTTGGTCAAGGCATTAAGTAATCCGCATGCGCAGAACGATTGATTTCAGTACTTCCGCTTAGCGCTTTGAGTGCAGCGTCAAACGCGGGCCTGTAATCTAACACGCGGGGACTGACCAATGAAATCTGAGAAGTAGAAACACCGGTAGACGCTGTTGCTTCATTGACAATGTCAATCAAGAAAGGGAGGAGCTTAACGCTATCGTTCTCTCCCAGTAAATTCCGATGTCAAATAACGACGTTATTTGGACGGAAAAACGATGGTTTGAAAACGTCCAAATAACGTCGTTTTTCCGTCCAATGACCATATACGGAAAAAAACGACGTTTTCGTGTTTGCAGTGACATTTCACCTTACACCTGAAACCATTGTCACCTGCAGGGTGTTACATTTCACTTGACATCTGAAACCATCGTCACCTGCAGGGTGTTACATGTTCACCTTACATTAGTCGTTCAATAACCTTCAAATAGCCAATTCCTTTCCACAGATTGACCCAACTCAACTAGAAATAAAGGAGTGAGGCCGCTTCATTATTCATATTCTGATATATCCATAAAGATTCCTAGTCACAAAACGCTCCCAACAAGACTGCGTGACAAGAAGGATGACTTCAACTTTCCAACAATCAACTTTCCCTTTATGTCGAACAATATTCCTGTAGCTCCAGCTAGATTCCTGTATCTACATTTCACAGCTTTGTGGTAAAACGATCATGCTCTTTCTACAACGATTTCAAAGAGTGCCGTACAACGCTTTCTCAGAAGTTGTTTGATCAAAGTTACAACATTTAAGACCGCAGTAAAGCTTTCAAAACGTTTAATGGTAGACATTCAAAATTTGACGCATCACTGACAACAAATATGTCTGATGTATTTGCCTATTATTACTTGTATCCTATTTTCCGATTTTTTTTACAGGTCAACAATTGACTTGCCTTTACATGTGTTTGTGTCGGGTACCACTTGTGGGGCAGTGCAGGATACGCTCACCTTTGTACCTGGTATCATCACTATTCAATAGTGACTCAGTAACACATGCTCATGATATAGTCGGAAAGATACAGTCGACTCGATTTGTTATGAAAATGGAAAGGGCTTTGTCACTTTTATCTATCACAGACAAGCACTTACTACAAAGTGCTACATGTTCACGTTACATCTGAGACCGACGCCAACTATAGGGTGGTCACCTCTTTTGTACTGCATTCCAAAGCTCCGTAAACATCCGTACAAAGAAAGATACACTGCCGTGTCTAGCAATTGTACCATCAAATCCCAACAACCATAATGCTCAATACAATCACGCTAGGACTCTTTGTATATTCACAGGAAGTATTTGAGACAGTTACACTTATTACCATGTGGATTTTTATAACCTCAAAGGATTAGCTTGAATTCTTGCAGTTTGAGAAAAGGATGAAAATCAGTCATGCCAAACATGTGATTAATCACTTTTGTAAACTACCTTCCACAACACGACAAACTTAAGGAAATACTTCATTCCTTGATACAGGTTCAGGGAGACAATAGTCTGAAATTGTCATCTGTCGTTTACTGATAAAATATGAGAAATGCTGAACTTCTTCATTGATCACATTTATGTGAAATTTTGATATACGACATGAAGCCAAGAAGTAGACATCCACATGGACTCCAGTTGTTTCTCCTTCTTCCTGATCTGAATCGGAATTTCTCGTCGGATTGGCAAAATCAAAAGAAGGCAATTTGAATGATATATGACTTCAGCTTGAGCTGAGATGAGGTGAGGTGCAATGTGGTTTACGTCGCGTTCAAGATTATTGCACTTATGTAGCGAAGAAAATGCACATGTGTGCGCGCGCGCGTGTGTGTACTAGTCTGGACTAATGCCGACTTTATAGTGCTAGTCAACTGAGAAACCATGCTGCAGTTTAACATGAGTCCCTCTCAGACACACTATACTGAGGGTGAGTGAGTTGGGTTCAACGCCGCTTTTAACAGTAATCCAGTTATATCACGGCGTGTCAGCTTAATGTTGGAGGAAAGCCCGAAGGGATGCAGGTCTCAGACGTTTACCACTTCGGTGAAAACCACGAGCACGGGTATGGTGCTGACAAACCTAGAAACATAATCGGGGTTCGAACCCACAAACATAGGTTTCTTGGGTACCCAAGGGACGCAACTCTGCAAAGCGAATCGCGGCGCCTTAAGTTACTGGGTCACCCACGCCCCCTCAAGCCGAACAATCCGTGTTTTAACTCTTTAATGCCGAGTACCAGTCAGGATAACAACAAGTACCATCTTTTAACATCTTTTTCTATGACGCGGCAGGATATCGAACTCCCGAGCTTCAGCCCTGCGTGGAGACGCTCTACCACTAGACCATGGAGGCGGTCTTTCGGCTTGAGGTTTATCGATGATTTGTAGCAATTACCTTCCTCTAATTTACCCACCTGTACTAGAAATAGATGACACCAATGAGGTCATCTTATTTTTATTATATCAAGATCTATGCATAACGATTCAGAATGTGAAATTACTATCAACAAGGCAAATGGGATTATTTCAACTTTCCCATAATCATCTTTCCCTTTATCTCGAGCTATATTGCATCAGTTGAGGTGGAACGATTTCAGAGAGCGACATTTAACTCTTGCTCAAAGCTTGTTGACATGTAAGGCTTCAGCAATGCTGTTAAACATGTTTAGTGCAGACATGTAGAGGGCATTTCCAAATTTGACGCTTCAGTGACAAACGGTATGTCTGATGCAATTACACATTTCGTGGGTAGACATATCATTTATGAAATCAGCATTATAGTCAATCAACTTCGACCATTGTTGTAAAGTTATTCATTAGCTCACCTGCATTTATGCTAATGATTGCATCAAATTAAACATGATTCATTTGTCTGACCTTGAAATGCTTGTAACATTGCTGACTTTAACGTAAACCATTTTTTACTCACATTCTCAATATCAAGAGAGTGATTCATATATTTATTTACATCATAATAAAATCTCAGTTATGTTCTTTGCTATGTATGCATTTGTACCATGTGCCTGGACCATATATATAAATATATATATATATATATATATATATATATATATATATATATATATATATATATATATGCGCAACATACGCTTATGCAGTATTCACTTGATGAAGGGGCAAGAACTAGTCCTGAAACGGCGTTACAAACGACACAGGAATTGGTATCCACTATATTAATAAAAAAAAAACAGCCCGCCGTAGTATTCAACATGAAATATTGACAGTAGCGGGTGACTTCGCCTAGATGAACACAACCAAGCTGACTGTCGTTCATTTCCCTATGAACGTCAGTACATGTATGTCACGTGATTACCTTGTCAATCGAGCGGAGGCATACAGAACTACTTTACGGGAATTCTTCAATGTCTAAAAATAACATTAAAAATCATTAGGGAAAACTTAGGACATAGATTCAGTCTATGAATGATGCAGGCTTTGAGGCCAGACAGATCATGTATATGGTCGGTCAACGAAATGAAGCGTCCATTCGAAGCTATGACAGAGAATGCTCGACTTACCAAAAGCAATCGCTGAGCTCCACACTACGTCCGGAACTACGTCTGACGGTCAACCACTGGATTGTCTGGTCCAGGCCCGATTATTTATTTATAATTACAGACCACTATAACTTGTCATATAACTGGAATAGTTCTTAGTTCAGCGTTAAATAACCAACAAACTACTTCCGACAAATCACATTATGGCACGAGGAAGGTGCACGGATGGCCCAGTCGTCTAAGGCGCCGCGATTCGCTCTGATCCACATAGTGTGAAATCCGGCACTTGTTAAACAGTCTAAATCTATCAATTATGCAGAAGTTGGCTATGTATATAAACCACGCACTGCTAGAATGAACTAAATTCATAAAGAATAGTTAAAATTGTGTGCAACACCTCTGTCATTATTGTTATAGGCCTGTGTCCGCTTTAGTGCTTGCATAAAGATTGAATGATTGATGGATTGATTGACTTAAGCACAGCGATGTGCGTCCCTTGGGCACGCCAGAAACCTATGCTTGTGGGTTCCGATCCCGGAAGGTCCCTATTATGTTTCTAGGTTTGTCAGCACCATATCCGTTCTCGTGGGTTTCAGCGAAGAGGTAAACGTCTGAGACCTGCACCACTTCGGGCTTTCCTCCGACATTAAGCTGTGATATAATGTGATATAACTGGAATACTGTTAAAAGCGGCGTGAAACCCAACTCACTCACTCACTCACTCACTATTGTGCCAGGGTCCATGCAGGAAGCAAAGGCACTGTAAGTCCCCATGGTCCCTGGTATGGCGATCTCCCTTTAGTTACTGACGATCTCTAGCCCATTTTTATATTGTGTTGTTAATTCTCTCTGCTTTTAAATGTTACTCAACTAGTTTTAAATAGACTCTGTGATATTCTAGTTATATTGTACCGTCCTTTGATGACAGGTTTTTACATATATATGTTATTAATGTATTACTTCTCGTCGGGATATGGCTGAAATATTGCCGATGTGACGTTAAATATTAAATCACTCACTCATACTCACAATGGTACGAGGAGGCACACAATTGTAGTACCAATTAAGGAACATTAAATATAATCCATTGTCATCAACATTACAACACATTTTGACACTTTGGATGGTTTCCTCTGTTTGCTTACTTCGAAGTGACGTTAATGAGCTAATGCATTTAGGGTAGTTGCATTTGACACCAGAGCCCGAATTAATGCAACGAGTTGTGCTGCTAGTCAGAAACATTGACTGACCCTGGTCGGTTAACCAAAGCATCAATGCACATTGACGTGTGTCTGTATTTTTTTGGTTTCTTGATTCGATTCGATTCTAAGGAAGATATTTACCACTGCACACAAATTACCTGATTACAGATTATGTACAAGTGTTTTTATTATAGGTGGGTAACAGATCACTGATAACTACAATTTATAATTAAGATATATATTATTTATTCTACATATTTCTCTTCTACAGATGAGAAGCAGAACTACCCTGAGAGATCTCTAAATCATAAAGTTAACAAGATAGAAACTTTAGAGAACAACCCACTTCACAAAGCCTGTAGGAAGGGGGACCTTGGCCGAGTGAGACGCATCTTGTCCCGGGATTTGGTCAACGGTAGAGACAAAAAGCACAGGAGGACACCTCTCATGGTGGCGGCGCAGAAGGGGCATAGAAGAGTATTTGGCTTTCTTATTAGAAAAGGAGCTAATGTGTCACAAGTAGATGATGATGGCTTGAACATCCTGCACTGGGCCTGTAATGGCGGACATGTGGGTATGGTGAAGTATGTACTTACACAACACAGTGTTGATATTAACAGTAGAAATGCTTTTGGAAAAACATCTCTGATGAACGCTGCATATCATGGGTACAGAGACGTATTTGATGTTCTCGTGTGTATGGGAGCAAATGTGTCACAAGTGGATGATGATGGTAACAACATCCTGCACTGGGCCTGTGTTGGCGGACATGTGGGTATGGTGAAGTATCAACTCTCACAACACATTATTGATATTAACAGTACATCAAAGATAGGAGGAACTATCCCGATGAAGGCTGTTTATTATGGGCACGTGGACGTGCTTCCGGTTCTTGTGTGTATGGGAGCTAATGTGTCGCAAGTGGATGATGACGGCGACAACATACTTCATTATGCCTCATTTAGAGGACATGCAGAGATAGTAAAGTATATTCTATCACAGGACATGGTGAACATTAACAGTAGAGGAAAGTACGGAAGGACACCATTAATGAGATCAGCATATCATGGATATAGAAAAGTGTTTGATCTACTTGTGAGTAAAGGTGGTCAAACTCCCTTAACGGATGACAATGGTGACAACATCCTTCATCTGGCCACTCTTGAAGGACGTGTGGAGATGGTGAAGCAAATCCTCTCACAGAACATGACAGACATTAACGCCAGGGACCAGGATGGGGAAACTGCAGCCATGATAGCAAAGCGTGAAGGACAACACGGAGTGTATAACCTTCTTGTTTCGCGTGGCTGCCCAGTGCAATAAGTGTAGCCGTGAACTGTGAACAGTGACCTATTTGGTTTCCAAAAGTCTTTGTGACTATTTGATTGGCATTCGATACATTGGCGAGTAAATGATAAAAACATACAACTTTATGGATAACAACTTCTGGTATATTTCATGTTGCGACTTGTTGATGTATGTCCTTACACCATTATCAAGCGGAAGTGACTACAACCAAGTAATGTCTATAGAAAGCCTACCCATTCTGACCAATGCATTCATTTCGAAAGAAAGTCTGGCATAATCTCTACACTGACCAAGCCAGCCAAGAACATCTCCTCCAGCAACCTTGACCTTGACCATGAACTTAATCATCTCCAGCATGTAGACACTGACCTCAACCATTATCCTACCAAGCTGGTCAAGAGGACCATATCCACTACAATCTAGCCCAAACCAAAACCAATCAGACAAGAATCCGCCCCCAACAAAATCAACCCACCCTACAAGACATCACATCAAATCATCAGATTGCTTTAGCATCAAGCAGGCATCGATACCATCTGCACTGGCTCCAAATCTTCAACGACCATCCTCCAAGCTAATGGCCGTCAGCTCTAAACCTGTGCCCGTAGGTTTCACCGAAGTGGTAAACGTCTGAGACCTGCATCACTTCGGGCTTTCCTCCAACATTAAGCTGACATGCCGAGGGGAAACACCATTTCATCCCACACCTCGATGCCTTCTCGGTATTAGAGTTCAATAATTTTGAATGTGGCATGAAACATAAAATTCACAACACAGCACAAAACAGTCATATTTTATTTAAAGGTTCATGACTGAAATACGTTAGCCTTCTGAATTTGTAAATCGTACAAACCAAGAAATTGATTAAACACAGCTTTTTCCAGTGATGGAAATAAAAATAACAAACAGAAGATATTGTTTGGTATAGGGTTTCATTGCCGTGTACCATATTGACATTTAAAAGACCATTCCCGATTTTGAGTTATTTTGCAGTTCATCGTTCTCATTTGGAGCCAAACTGGTTGTAATTGATTCTGACCAAATTCCGAACCAAAAAAAAGCAACCAAATCGGCAAGTGTTAAATGGGTCACATGACACTGAGGAAGATTGGACTTTGGCTGGTTTCCTTATTATGTCTTCTTGATGGTTATGATGCTCATGGTTAAGACGGGATCGTACAATGAACACATTTGGTAGAGATTTCTTATGATTATGGAAATGTTTCCATCACTTTTATCATAGTCCAAAATCTTTTCTTCCGAAACTATCCTTGGAAACAACTATTTTGGACTAGATTGATGCTCTACGGTGTTGTTCTGATCAACAATAGACATGAAACGTCAATCCGTGTGCAGTTTATCAAAGTCATCGGGTCTGTCTGCTATAGACGACTAGGCGTGGATGCAGATAACATTTTTCTTGACAACATCGCATATTTGAATATTTAGATAGAAAATAGCGAAAACGTTTCAAATAGTCACATCTCCATCAACACATACATTGAAACAGGAATGGAATTGGTTATCTCTTACCATGGTTTGTCTTCCACAGAAGAACAGATTTTCTGGTCTGAATCACGACACTGACACTTTAGATAGACAATGATAAATACACACCACGGCACACAGTTCCATACATAGTGTATACACTTGTCCGGAAACCGTTGATCCACTGATTGTGCTAACTTTAACAAACATAACCTTTACTGTCAAATTTGAGAAGGTGAAAAGAAAAACATGAATTTACGGTGAACTGGTTTTCAACTTCCATCATGGTCAAATAGCTTTACCGTTTTAATAGTTTTTAACATACCACGCAGATATTGCGATGAAATATTTTTTCTGTGGAGAATTATATATTGTCGGGCAAAGCCAAAAGTATACATGCTCGCCCATATTTTATGGTGGCAAAACATAAAACACATAGCAATGATGATTTGAAACTTGTATCACTTGTTGTGTTTTGGACCTCAAGTTTGCAGTGTTTCAGCGACTGTTTCCAGCCATGTAACGTTTTGATAACGTTTGTAACTTTGGCGTCAAATCCAGTTCTCCAAAGTGTACTACGTTTTGCTATGGAGTTTATATACACCGCCTGAAAATAAATCTAAGATCATCTGTACATTTTTAAGTAATTGTAACCGGCTACATTATCAATTGTCTGCTTAAACGTTCTTTCTTTATTAATGTGCCCACAGATGACCAGGTGGTTTGAGATACGGTTTAGCTCAGTGGTCTAAGATGGGGACAGCACCGTGGTCTAATGTGCGGTACCCATGCAAATCCGGGTAAAACTGATATTCAGCAACCCATGAGGCGACTTACGACATCGGGTGGTCAGGCTGGGTGATTTGGTTGATACGTGTCATCATATTCTCATACAATTCATATAAAATTAAATAAGCTCATTTTGTTTAATATTAGAACTCAGGTAGGAGATATTTTCTCCTGTTTGAAGGTCCCAACTGATTCCTGTGCATCCGTGAAATGTAGTTTCGGGCAACGATGTTTGAAGACTCGATCTGGAAAAGATGTTACGGCTGGTCTTTTTTCACATTTTCTCTTGTGTTCTCTTTGGACTGGGTAGACCAACAATCTACTTTCGTTATTGAAGGGACGTTCTTAGTCATACTCTCACACCTTACACGAACACTAACTAGAGGGTACTCCATGTTCACTTTACATCTGAGACCAACGCTAAATATAGGCTGCCCCATGTTCACTTTACATCTGAGACCAACGCTAAATATAGGGTACTCCATGTTCACTTTAAATCTGAGATCGACGCTAAATATAGGGTGCTCCATGTTCACTTTACATCTGACACCGACGCTAAATATAGGGTGCCCAATGTTCACTCTTCATCTGAGACCGACGCTAAATAAAGGGTGCCCCATGTTCACTTTAAATCTGAGACCGACGCTAAATATAGGGTGCCCCATGTTCACTATACATCTGAGACCAACGCTAAATAAAGGGTGCTCCATGTTCACTTTACATCTGTGACCAACGCTAAATATAGGGTGCCCCATGTTCACTTTACATCTGAGACCGACGCTAAATATAGGGTGCCCCATGTTCACTCTACATCTGAGACCGACGCTAAATAAAGGGTGCTCCATGTTCACTTTAAATCTGTGACCAACGCTAAATATAGGGTGCCCCATGTTCACTTTACATCTGAGACCAACGCTAAATATAGGGTGCTCCATGTTCACTTTACATCTGAGACCAACGCTAAATATAGGGTGCCCCATGTTCACTTTACATCTGAGACCAACGCTAAATATAGGGTGCCCAATGTTCACTTTACATCTGAGACCAACGCTTAATATAGGGTGCCCAATGTTCACTTTACATCCGAGACCGACGCTAAATATAGGGTGCCCCATGTTCACTTTAAATCTGAGACCAACGCTAAATATAGGGTGACCCATGTTCACTTTACATCTGAGACCAACGCTCAATATAGGGTACTCCATGTTCACTTTACATCTGAGACCGACGCTAAATATAGGGTGCCCCATATTCACTTTACATCTGAGACCAACGCTCAATATAGGGTACTCCATGTTCACTTTACATCTGAGACCAACGCTAAATAAAGGATGCCCCATGTTCACTTTACATCTGAGACCGACGCATATATAGGGTGCCCCGTGTTCACTTTACATCTGAGAGCGACGCTATATATAGGGTGCCCCATGTTCACCTTGCATCTATGAGCAACGGTAACTATTGAGATGTCACCTCTTTGGTACTGGATTCCAATTCTCCGTACAAAGATCCAGCAACAGGTGGGGGTTCAAAAACTCCAAGGATTAAATCTCAGAAAAGAACTCACAATTTACGTCAATTTTTATTACAATTTGCGTATTACAATTTACGTCAAATATTATTACAATTTACGTTGTTATTACAATTTACGTCAAAATTATTACAATTTGCTGCAAGTATTACAATTTACCTTTTTATTACAATTTACGTCGTAACAGTGCGTTATAATGATACAGCCACAGCAATTTCCTATGACCATTCATTGCAGTAAAGAAATAACAATTACCAATTGTACCATTGATACTTTACCCACCTATAATATAATCGCCAGCAAAGGTAATTTGTGTGCAGTGGTATATTTGTGTGCAGAGGCCGGTGTACCTTATCGTCACAACTTCTTGATTTAGTTCGAGCTGTGCTTCAAATGCAACGATCCTAAAGCCATTAGCTTATTTACGTCAATTGGAAATTAACAAAGATAGAAAGTCACCACAATTTGCTGTACTGTTTCGAGTTGTGAAGGGGATTACATTTGATATCATCATATGTTTCTTTTGAAAATGGTACTGCAATCGTATTCCTTGGCGTACTGTTATGTGATTTCCGTCGGAAGTCGATCAGTATAAGTTTAATATAGACTTCCACTAGAAAGACTACTTACACTTCCTCTTATCATTCCTGGTACATTGTTAGTGCCGCGAGCTGGAAGTATTAATTGCATATTGAACCTTTTGTATTTCTGTTCTTATTTAATTAATTTAATTTGCTGATATATGGATAACAACTTCTTTGTTTGTAACGACGTTGCAGGGCCTCTTCGTAAATTGAATACTCCATAACTCTACGCTGTATGAAGGAGGATGGTTTGTTGAAAAAGACATGCCATACATTCGGCGAAACACTTTGTCAGTGAACATTGATTTTCACTTACAGACTTACTTATTAATTATATAACCGCACATTTAACAAAATAAAATTCACTCAATAGACAATGTTCTAAATGCCTTTCAGTAAACAAAGCACTAAAGGCAATGTTTTTTCCATTACTTTGTCAATTAAGACATTATTGTGATGGATATAATTATATGATATTGAGCATGTGAGTAAATTATGCTTCATGTTGAAGTCAGCAAGGTTACAATCATATCAAGATAAAAAAAAAATGAAGCATTGATTTGATGCAACCATGAGTTTAAATGCAGGTGAGCTAATGAATTTCTTCCAACAACTTCTACAAT